TGGGCTTTACTGCACTGTATTGTGCTCTTACCCTGATCTCATGGGCTTTACTGCACTGTACTGCAATTGTATTTAACGGCAGTGGGCTTTAAAGCATTTAATTCGGCTTTTCCCATCATCATGATGAAATAACTTGGAAGTAAGGGGGCAACTGCACCATCTCATTAAGGGTGTCCCCAGCCTACTCCAATCCAAACCTCCCCACTTCTCTCAATCCAGCATGGGCCAGGAAATGTCTCTCTGCACTGCGTGGCGTCAGATTCAGTAAAAACAGTGCCTCTTGTCCTCAGTCCTCTTTCTGCCCGGATTTCCAAAGAGCCCTGGTAAAGCATAAGGCTTGTAGCTGGTCCCTCCTGCAGAAATCCTCTTTCCAGAAGCAAACCCTCCTCCGGTAAAGAGGGGATCCACAAAACTTTGGTGACTGTACGCGGTGTTTCAGGTGCTCAAAGATGGGCACCCAGGCCTTCCTCTGTACCGCGATGATAAGCCTCTGAGAGGCCAGTCGTGCCTCTCCTGACGGCAGACCCAGATACTGCTGCCTGGGTCACACCCAGCACAGGCATGTTCCTGGCAGCTCCAACCTGAAGCTGCACCTTTGTCTGCTGTGTCGTTTCTGCAGTGCACTAGTCACACCACCCAAAGGAGAAGGGTTCACACTGTGCCGGTCGGGCTTCTCCATTACTTGCAGTGCATGAGCTTGCTATATCAAAACCAGTGCCTGACCTTCACAGTACAGAGATCTTGTGACGGTGCCTGTGATGGTATGGTTACCAGGACAGTTCTCATACAAAAGCCTGGTTGTCTTCAACCAGGCCAGTAAAGGTTACCATTCCCATACCTAACTCCACAGCTGCTCCCAGTGGGCCTGCTGTTGATACCCGAACCCTGCAGGACATTATAATGGGTCACAGACACTGTAAATGAAGGGTGCGCGAGGCAGGGTTGGACCTTAGTGTTTGGTATGGGTATTGGTATTTTTTCTTCCAGTTGGGCTAGGCCTCTCCTGTTCTAGTACTGTTTTGTAAAGCACTCTGTGTTGTGAAAGGCACTGCATGAAACAGAAGTATAATGCATTAAGGTCAATGAATCTTGGGGAAAAAAAAATATATTTTTAGCCCTTAGATTTCTTTTGAACATGAAGAGAAAGTTAAAAATGAGCATCTACCCTATGCCAGACGCCAGGCTTCAGAATTCCTTTCCTTTAGGCCTTATTGTTCAAAGATTTTCTCCAGCAGGCTGTACGGCACGTGGAATAATCAGAGCGTCTGTCACAGTGGCAGGATTACCTTTTTCTGCGCATCTTTAATTGATGTCCAACTCATTGATCGTAAAGGAAAACTACCGCTTTTAGTCAAGTCGAATCCGAACTCTGTCGCCACACTTCACACACAAATTAGATCTATAAAGACATTTACTGCTGACCATGGAGTGTGGCTGTTTAAAAACCAATTCAATATTCTTTAAGCTTCATTAATCAAGAGCTCTGCTGGAACAAACGCTAATGGGCACAGGGACACTCCAGGGCCAGGACAGGGAACCCCATGTTAATGTACATGACTTGGGGGGGGGGGGGTCCCCAAAGGACTTGAGGAGCAGAGACTCCGTGGAGTCAAAGTCATCACCAGCTCGTGCAGCTGTTTCATCATGAACAACCCGGTCTGGCCTGTCCTGCTTCCTTCCTCGCTAGGACTTTGCAGGAATGTGATGTACTTGAGTGTCTGTCGGAAGAATGTGCCAACTCACCTTGCCGGCATGACAGACAGGTCCGATCAGAAACAGAGGTGTTTATCTCTGCTACGTCTTCCTCATCCATGACCCCCTGGGGCTGTGAAGAGGGAGAGAGCGTACGATGAGCATCCTTATTTCCTTAATATTTTCCTTATAATTTTCTGGGTTTTCTTTTTTACGGGCATGGAAAGCCCTACAACACCATAGTGGTTCATTCAGACTGGATTGTGGTGCAACAGAACAAAACAAAACCAGCAGAACTTTACCGGCGGGCTGAGAGCCAATATGTACAGTATCAAGCATGGCATCAGCCCCAGCGAACAGACGCCACTATGACATCTAAAATGTCCTAGTGACATTCTTGCTGAAAGGTAGACTGCCTTCACCCGAGCCCTACCTCTCCCAGCCTTTACTTGTGCGAACGTGTCACACGTGACCCTAGTGACCTCATTGACTCCATCAGGGTCAACCAAGCGATGACCTTGATCACAGCGAGAAACTGTAGAAGAAACAGATCAAGTGGGTTCTGGGTTAGGGTTAGGGAACAGACGTCTGGGTTGCAGTTTAATTCCCCTTAGCTTGGAATCCTCATCCTCAAGCTGGTACTTGTACCAGCTTTGGCAAAAAAAGCGTTCAGGCTTGAGGAGAGGACAGATGCAGCTCCCAGTGGCATCACTGCAAGCTTGCATGCATCCGCATTGGCCACAGGGGTGGCGCTGTTGAGCCACAAACCGAGGATACCCCTGCCCGACTACTAGTGCATGTGACTCTGGCAGCTTCAGCACAGTGAATGCAAGTAGCATCTTACAGGGCTCCTCATGCACATAAGGGGCTCCCTCACAGTCTGAGGCCTTGGATAACGCACACACAGGATGAGGTAGCCTGACAGCTTTCGGATCCCGACTACGGGTGGGTGGAGAGGGGGGTAAACCTTTGCTCACTCCCATACACACCCGTTACTCTTTGCGTAAAGTACTGCCTCCCACACTGCCGCCCTGACCTCCCCTGCATCTCCTCGGACCCGCGCTCTCGTGGCGGAGCCCTGCGGCCATGTCGTGAAGTGCTTGTCCGCAGGTCAGCTGGGGATTACGTGACCGCGCACACTAGCCTCTGCAACTGGCAACTACCCTGAACCCCCCACCACCCCCCCTCCTCCTCCTTCCAGCCTCCCCGAATTTCCGTATCCTCTCGACTTCCCCGGTAGTGACTGCTGCCTCGGCGTGCCGGGAAGACAGTCTTGTCTCGACAGGACCATGGGTGTACAGAGCGCATTCCAGTCAGAAGCCGCCACCTTGCGTGACTCATGCTGCGGCCTGACCAGCAGACAGCGCGCGAACTGCAGCCGGCCCTCCCTGCGCCTGCCGAGACTGGTCTGAGCTTTCCAGCGCTGGGGAAAAAGTCCTGCTGAAACAGTAAGGGATGGCAGTAACTTTCACTGGGCAAGAGCTTACCCTTCTTTTGAAAATGCGGAACACAAGGGCGGCCCGCAGAGCCACAGTTCAGCGGGGTTTCACACGTCATCCCTTCAATCACCTGTTTATAAAGACCTGGCGCACGTGTGGCGCACACCGATCAGATGATCAGTTTAGCAGATGAATTGATTCGGGGGGTCAGTCACTTTACATCAAGGGGGCCCCCACTCCAGGCCAGGAGGACTACTGCACCTGAAGGGCCTCCACTCCAGCCCAACTCTTAATCATCCAGTTGAGCTAATTACGGCCTTAACTGGAGCACTTTAATAGCTCAGGTGCAGCTGTGAGACCTCATGGTCTGGGGTAGAGCCCCTGTTTCACATAACCACACTCACAACGGATGGTTTGTAGCAGCCGAGTTTAGGCCTGGATGTCCTCCTTGCCCTCCGACATCATCAGTAAGATCTCCCAGAACAGTCTGGCACTCGGCTGCAGTGAGTCGTCCTTCTTTTTTGTTTTTTTAAAGGCCTGTGCAGTTGTTCAGCTATGATTGATTCCCTGCTCTGGGGCATCTGGTTTCTTTAAAGAGGAAGTTCAGCTACCGACGAGCAGACGTGTAGAGGGAACTTTCAGAACTGGTCTGGGTTTTCTTTTTTCTCCGCTTGTAAAAATAAACTCTTAGATAGGAGTCAAAAAAAAAAAAAGAGGGCAATCACAGGTTTCCCTGGACTGTTTTCTTTTGTATCTCTGCTGGAGGAGGTGAAAGGACCCCTAAGAGAGGCTTTACAAGCCAAGCACACCACACACAAATACACACACGTGCCGATCAGCTGTTTGCGAACCGAATGACGTACATCAATTCATTCCTGGACCGAGAGGAATGTGTTCGGTTTAAAATGGGATGGGCAATCCTGTTCTGGCACAGCCGGCATGTCTGCATCGCATCATTCCAGGCTCAGCTCCTAACGAGCTCATTCAGCTCGTTATCGCCCGAGTGGAACCCATGTAACAAGTTCTCCCAGCTCTTCGGGTGCTGCGGGACCAGGAGTCCCCCCCACCCACCCCACCCCCACCTGCGCTCAAAGAACTGAATCGCTTTAGCTTTTGATCAGCGAAGGGGCTCCTGCTTAGACCCTTAGGAGGTGTTGTCAGCCTTGCACAGTGTGGCCTCCCTGCTGTTCCCCTCTTGATTCACCTTTCTCTCCTCCCCCTGGGGTGAGGCTGCTGTGTCTCTCCCAGGTGGGGGTTAAGTGGGTCCCCTGCTATGTGGAAACAGCTCAAGTACCCTTTGGGATGAAAGATACTTCACAAAGGCCGGGGACGATGATATGGGCACGCTGCATCGACATGTACATCAGCGCCTGTGGTGCACTGGTCAGCGCTCTGAAGCTGAAACTACAAGGCAGTGGATTCGAATCCCAGCTGGGGATCTGCCATTGTGGACTTGAACCGGGCACTTCATTGAGGTGGCTACAGTATAACGCCCCACTTTATAGATAGACGGAAGAAAAGCTTCAGCATGAAAGAAAGAAAGAGCTATACGTATACGCTAGCTAAAGCTTTCTTTTTGCCCGAGTTTTTAACCGACTGGAACGCGGCTCCAATTCATGGTTTGCCCCCAGGCGCTGGCCTTCTGAGAACAGTATTGTGTCTCAGGAGGGGAGTCGTCCAGCACAGGAGCGCAGAAAAAACAAACGAACCTGATTTTCAGGTCTTTGGGCGATTACAAGGGGCGGGCTACACCGCACACATGTAAAAAGACGAGGTTTGTTTTGATGTGGGAAAGATCGGCCGGTTTGCCAGCATTAAAAAAAAGACTGTTTCAGCAGCATTCATCTACAGCCAGGGAGTCACTGAGGTTGGAATTTGACTCCACCAGAGATAAAACTGTCTTACATATGGTGGTAAAGCCCAGTGAGATCTGGGTAAAAGCACAGTACAGTAAAGTAAAGCCCAGTGAGATCAGGGTAAAAGCACAGTACAGTGGAGTAGAGCCCAGGAAGATCAGGGTAAAAGTACAGAACAGTGCTCTCACTATCTTGTAATGCCCAGTGAGATCAGGGAAAAAGCACAGTACAGTGCAGTAAAGCCCAGTGAGATCAGGGTAAAAGCACAGTACAGTGCAGTGCAGTGCAGTAAAGCCCAGTGAGATCAGCGTAAAATCACAGTACAGTGCAGTAAAGCCCAGTGAGATCAGGGTAAAACCGCAGTACAGTGCAGTAAAGCCCAGTGAGATCGGGGTAAAAGCACAGTACAGTGCAGTAAAGCCCAGTGAGACCAGGGTAAAAGCACAATACAGTGCTGTAAGGCCCAGTGTGAGCAGGGTAAAAGCATGGTACAAAGCAGGCACAGAACTGTGCACTCTGGGTCTAGAGATTCACTGGTTAGTCACTCCTGTCCTGGAGAGCCACAGGTGTGTAATAACTTCATCTAAGAGATACCCACCACTAGTGGCACCCCAGGTCTGGAACTGAACCCAGGGCCCTCGCACTGCGAGGCAGCCCTGCTGTCATGTCCCGCATTAATAGTTATACCCATTAACCCTGCTCAACTGGGGGCCCTCCAGCACCCCAGTGGTAGCAGAAACCCCGAGTCGTGAGGCCTCAGGGCCACAAACCGCTGGTGCCACAACCCTGACATTTCACCCGTTTCCTCATTCTGCAGCAGTGAGGCCTCGCATGTCCAAAAAAAAAAACCCACACTCCAGAGGGTCTTGATATAGCTTTAGGCCTATAGGTGAGAACTGATAAGCTTTTAAAAGGCCCAGGGCGAATTATTATTTTTTTATATTATCATGCATTCACTCCCCAGTACTGACAGGTGAAATCTGCTCACGATGGTCTGTGTGGAATAACACAGGGGCTTGTTTTCAATGGGTACCCTCCTTCAGGGTGACTCACCTGCCCTGACGCTGTGGGCGTCGCGGTTCTGTTTCTTGTCACTCCTGGTGAAACACGCTTTGCCGGGTCACGCACGGTCAGGGTAAGCGGCTCATTTTTATGTGGAACTGCATTCACACAACTTTTATCCTCCGGTCTTTTGGTTTGTCGAGAGGGGCCTGCCAATGTACAGATGAATACTATCTATCCTTTCCCGGCCCGCCTGTCCGGGTCAGCATCGCCCACTCTTCAAAATAAAAAAAAAACTCATGTCAAAATCAAAAAGACCTCATGACCGACGCCGCTACAGTCTCTTATCGGTCTTCAACGGTTATCAAATGAAAGTACCTGGACAGACTTTTCGCTACCTTGCGGCGTTAGTCCAGGATACCCATAGTTGGAGATGACTTGGATTTCAGGAAGAAACTTTTTTAAAAAAGGAAACAGTTAAAAAGGTTTCCAATTATGATTTACCCTGCGGTGGGGGGGGAGGGGGGACGCAGAGGTTGGATTTTATCAATAACACAAAAGACGTTTTCCTTTTGAACCGCATTCAAACGACCGCCGAATTACGCAGAGGTCGCTACAACGGTATCTGGAAACTTATGTAAACACGGGCGAGTCGGCGCAGCGCGGTTGCCACGGCAGCGGGTGGGGGTGTGTGTGTGCGCGCGAGAGTGTGTGTCCGGGCGGAGTTTACGACCCCACCTCGCGCCTCAGGTGTACCGACGGTGTCACCCGGGTCCGCGAGCGCCTCATTGGCTGCGCCTCGCGTCTCCTCGGCGAGGTTTTGGCTCCGTCCTGGGAATTCCGCAAACTTCCACCCCCGATGGAGGCGATGGGATTTTAACAATCCGGAATCCCGACAGAGACGGCGTGGCGTTCGGTTAAGACTAGGGAGGAGCGCACAGGTAATGTCTCTAAATCGCCATTGGGGGCTATCGTGTGTGTGGTGTCCGTGCGTGATTTGGACACGCTGCGGCACGAGGATGTATCTCCGTGTCCCATTCTGATACTGAGGCATGGTGCTTACCCACAGAACTGTATGCGGAGCGAAATTATTTTTTTGTTGTTGTTGTTTTATTACGCGGAGATCTTGCCTAGGGCGTATCGAGTGAACAGTGGTTTGACGAACCGACTTTGGCTCAATAATTTGTCTGGTTCGGGAAAACGATGCTCAGAACGCAGAAAAACACGGCAAAAAATCATTCAGGTCACCTAAACCCTTGTGTTAGAGAACGTGCACACTGCTTTTACAGTGCATTCCGACCGAAAAAATAAACAGCCTACTTTCAATAATAATAGCTGTCTCTGTCCTGACGTGTCTGTGTGTCTTGTGCAACTGCGGTTTAGTTTCGGCCCATTAGTTTTCAGCGCGCTGGCTATGGGTGCGAATTTGGACAGAACGGATTACTTGACATTCGCTAGACATCTTTATCGTTCTGAGGCCCAGTTTGGGCGTGTAAAACAGCAAGGTCATCTTTCTTCACCGACTTGAGAACCCTTAAGAGTGGCACCCAGACTCCTCGTTGTGACTCCCAGTGCACAGCAGTCTGATCCACTCCAGGTTTTACAGTGCTGTCAGTCAGACTCCCAGTGCACAGCAGTCTGATCCACTCCAGGTTTTACAGTGTTCACAGTGTTGTTGATCAGACACGCTTTGTACAGCAGTCTTAGTCAAAGGGGAATTTTTTTTTAGATGCTGTCCTTTCAGTGTACAAGTGTACAATTTAAAGGAATCAACTTGTCCATATGGGCCTTTCATGAGCTCTGTGGTAAATTCAGGTCCTGACCTACAGCAGGGCTCCCAGGGCCTGAGGTCACAGCCCCAGGTGCAGAGACCTGGAGCTCCACTAGAGGGCTCTGTAGCCCCAGCCTCTTGCAACTGGAATGTTAATATACCTGGAGCAAAGGATCCTGGGTCTAGCCCTGCGGAACATGTTTTTTTGTGGGGTAGTAGAGGAGAATGTCCAGAAGAGGGGTTTCCTTCCCCCCTGCGTACGCACACGCACACACACACATGCTCCCACCTCTCTGCTGTGTTGGTGGATCCTCCTAACTGATCTCTACACCAGCAGCTCCATCACCCTGCTCCCAGCTGGCAGCCCACTGGAGCCCAGCAGCTGTGAGCCTGGCCAGCACCTGGAGGGGAGACTCCTGGGAAAGCTGAGGCTGCTGCTGGAGGAGGTGTTAGTGGGGCCAGCAGGGGGCGCTCACCCTGCAGTCTGTGTGGGAGACTATACTGTAAAAAAGGCGCCGTCCTTCTGATGAGATGTAAAACCGAGGTCCTGACTCTCTGTGGGTATTAAAAATCCCAGGGCGTTTCTCTAAAAGAGTAGAGGTGTTACCCCAGTGTCCTGGGCAAGTTTCCCTCCTGGCCTTCACCAGTCATGGCCTCCTAATAATCCCCATCTCTGAACTGGCTTCATCACTCTGCTCTCCTCCCCACTGAGAGCTGGTGTGTGGGGAGAGGACTAGTGTATCATCCACACTGGTGATGGAGGGGAGTCCCCATTACCTGTAAAGAAAAAGCTATATAAATTGTGAGATTATTATTATTCTGAGCAGCCCGCTGGGGTGGACTGAGGTCACTGTGTCGGACGCAGTGTTCCCAGCCAGCAGTGACCGCAGGGGTTAGTGAACGGAGACCGCCTCTCTTCCAGGAGCCAGGATCCGGGGAAGGACTTCCACATCATCCAGGACATGGAGCTGAAGGAGGAGTGGCAGGACGAGGAGTTCCCCAGGTCAGCTCCGATCGATTGATTATCCGTCTGCTCTGGCGTCTAGGAGGTTCCGATTGTCCGTGAAGCGACTCGGATGATGTGCTCTATTAAAACTGGTATGAAATAGAGCAGTGCAGTGGCTAGCGCTCCTGCTTCACAGCACTGGGGCCCAGACCTGGGTTGCTGTCTGTGTGGAGTTTGCATGGTCTCCCATGTTTCCTCCGAGTGCTCCAGCTTCCTGCCAAAGTCCAAAGACAAGCTGGTGGGTTAATTGGAAAACGGGCCCTGCCACAAGCGTGGCTGTGCTGTCCGGAGAGAAGCCTACCGTGCACCCGTTGCTTGCTGGGATAGGCTCTGGCTCCCCTGTGCCGCTGTACTGGGTAGAGGAGTGTAGGGAGTGGATGGGGGGTATGTAACACCCGAAACTCAACAGCCCAGGTCTGTGCCTGAAGGACTCCTGCAGCTGTACTGTCTCGTTAACGGGAGCGCGTTTATACTGCAATTCCGACAGGCCTCTTCCAGAAGACACGCAGAGCCCAGGAGACGAGCCGGACAGCCCCACAGGAGAGGAGGGCAAACCAGGTAGGCAGCTCTCTCAGGTTCATTGACCCGTTCTAACCCAGACTAACACCCGCCAGGGCCTAGAGTGGGGTAAAGGCGCTGAAGGAAACCTGCCCCAAGCGTCTAGCCCGTGAGCTTGCTATAAGTGGCCAGACCCTGGTCCGGTCGCGTCACACACAGGCCCCAGCTGACAGGCGCTGCGGCGGTCCCGCTGTCCGGCCCAGAGCCCGGTTCCTCCAGCGCCCCTTCCTCCTCACTCCCCAGCCTCAGGGAGGGCTCCCGAACCAGGACTGAGCTGTCAGAGGTTTTGCGTTGCACGCCCACCTCGCATCCCGGTGTCTAACAAGCCGAGCTGGAGGGAGGCTGCACTGTTTCCCCTGAGCCCCCGAATGCACCCCAGAAGCGTCACGACCATCCACCCAATCCCCACCAACTCCGACGGTTCTCGGCCGGAGGGACGTGAGGCGCGCGGCTCGCGGGGCCGGTGTGGATTGAAAACACTGGTTGAGCTGGCAGCGCGTCCGTTCCGCGGGCGGGAGCGGGGCGCTGCAGCCCCGAGGCTCGGCGGGTCCGCGCGCCGGTGACCCTGTGCCGCTGTCGCCCGTGTCGCAGCGCCGCCCAGCAGCCTGGCTCTCTCGGGGACCCGGCACGGCAAGAGGCGCCTGGTGGCGCCGGCCCTCAGCCTGACGCTGGACCGCGCCAACTCCACCGTGTCGGACGAGTTCGCCACGGCCACCCTCTCGCCCTCGCCCGACGAGGACTTCGACATCAACCTGGAGGACCTGGAGACGCCCTCCGACAGCGAGTCCTGGACCTTCCCGGAGAGCACCCACGACTTGGAGTGGGAGGGTGAGAAGCGGGCATTGCATGCCCTTTAACCTTTAACCTTTACTCTTTAACATATCTAACCCTTAACCTTTAACCCTGCCCCAACTTGAGGCCTCATCCTCATGGCCAGGCTGTCGGAGAGCTGAGGCGAATTAAACATGGTCTGTCTTGCACATCAAGTGCTCATAAATATATAATATATATATGACAATAATACAGTCCAGCAACAGGCATCAGCTGTCTCTCATTCAGAACTCCTCCAGTAACACAAGATTAAAAAAACAAACCATTCGCTTGTAAGGAACCCAATAACAATTCAGAAGAAGATTATAGGGTCTACCGAATGCCAGTAACGCACCTCTAGATACTCGGCGGTAGCCGTCCTGCTTTAACATTCAGAACCTCTGTGGGAAAGTGGACCACTGCTTTCTGGGGTTCGGGGTGGCGCCTGGTCCACTGTTTTCATCACTGCGCTGGCGACTTACCTGACCTTTGCCCCCCTGACCGGCTCCGTAATGCAGACGACCTGCCGCGGGCGGGCCGCAGGGAGGGGGCGGCGGCGTCCGGAGCAGCGGCGGCGGCCAGCACGCCGGTGATGGAGCAGGCGGAGGAGGGGCAGCTGGACCTGGACGAGGTGGACAGCCGCGGCAGGAAGTGGCGGGTGTTCCGCACCGCCGGGCAGGAGCACCGCGTGGACATGAGCGTGCTGGAGCCCTACCTGCGGGTGCTGTCCCACGGAGGTGAGTGCTGTCCGCCCGGGCTCTGTGGGACGCGCACAGGGACGGGAGACCAGCCCAGTACCGCGCGGGTCTCTGTCCTGCCCAGGGACGCGTCGCGGGGAAAACTCGAGGGTGGAGGGGACTGGAGGTTTCCTGGAAAGCTCCACTCCGATTGGCTGCTCCACTCATGTGGCCGGGGCTTCTCGTGTTCCAGGTTACTACAGCGAAGGGCAGAACGACATCATCGTGTTTTCCTCCTGTTACCTCCCGGAGAACAGCGTCGACAGCTACGAATACGTCATGGAGAACCTCTACAGGTGAGCCCCGCTGCCCGCCTGCCCGCCTGTCTGTCCGCTGTCCTGTCTGTCCCTCTGTTCACTGCTCCGTCCCCTTGACTGATGATGTGTCCCTTAATTCACTGACCTGTCCCTCTGTCTGCTGACATGTCTCTCTGTCCACTAATCTGTCCCCCTGTCTGCTGACATGTCTCTCTGTCCACTAATCTGTCCCCCTGTCTGCTGACATGTCTCTCTGTTCACTAATCTGTCCCTCTGTCTGCTGACATGTCTCTCTGTCCACTTCCAGCACTGTTGGAACCCCTGATAACTATAAACTATAAAACCTTCTGGCTGGGGGCTCTCGGGGACCAGGGTGGGGAAGCCCTGATTTGGGGTGACCTGTAAGACCCCTCTGGATAGGGGCTGGGGTCCCTGCTGGTGCTGACCGGCCCCCGCTCTCCGCAGGTACATCATCGGGACCCTGGACCTGATGGTGTCGGAGAACTACATCATCGTCTACCTGAACGGCATGTCTCCGCGCAGCAAGATGCCCCCCCTGCGCTGGCTGCGCCAGTGCTACCAGACCATCGACCGGCGGTGAGTCGGGGGAGCCGGGGGGCCCACTCGAACCAGTCTGGTGTCTGGTGGTGGCGGGGTGGGGGGGGCTTTTCTTACCGCCTCGCTCGCCTGCGATTCAGTCCCGCTGGCAGGGGCCCGGTCAAGCGTTAAACCTGCCCGGACCCGAGGCACGAGAGAGAGGGAGAGGGAGAGGGAGAGTCACGTGGGGCCAAACCGCTGAGGAGAGCACACTGGTGCTGCAGGCGCTTGAGGACAGGACGCTGGCCAAGGGATGGTCTGTGCCTGGCCCCGCCAGCAGGGCAGAGGTGTGTGGGCCTGTGCCCCCAGAGGGGGCTGATGGGAATCGCTGGGCAGCACTGCCTGTTTGTTTTGACCGATGACTCGGCTGCGTGCTGCCGACTCATCGCCCGCTGACACTGCGCGAATCCGCCCTCAGTGACTCATGAGACAGCAATACAAAGGCTGCAGAATGATGAGCTTGCTTTTATATTCACCACTCTTTGAAATCACAGGATTTGGTCTTGTGCTCCTACTGCTGTGTCCAACAAGACCTAGTAGAGAAGCTTTTTCCACCTCTTCCAAGCTCAGGCAGAGCTGTGAGCTTTGAGCTGTGTACTTTTAGCAGTTCTGTCGTAGGAGATGCATGCTTTTGACAAGGAGCATCTTGAAATCAGGGGCGGAGGTGGAAAAGAGAAAATGTTTTTTTTAAATCAACAACAAACTCAGTATTCTGTTCCAAAAAACAGCTGCCCTCAGAGAACAGGCATCACCTGACAGCTTCTGCTGTGACCTGCTCTGTGGTTCATGTCTCCTCCTGCCCCCAGGTTAAAGAAGAACCTGAAGGGGCTGCTGGTGGTTCACCCCTCCTGGTACATCAGAGCCCTGATCACCGTCTTCAAGCCCTTCATCAGGTGAGGCGGGACCTGCAGGCCCTCTTCCTCTCTCTGTTGACGAGCCTTGGCTGTGTCAGTGCCCCATCAGTATCCAGCTGTACCGGTTGTATCTGTGCCCCATCAGTACCCAGCTGTATCTGTGCCCCATCGGTACCCAGCTGAATCTGTGCCCCATCAGTACACGGCTGTATCTGTGACCATTTTCTTTCTGTATAAATTGTGGAGATTCTCCTGTAGTTGTGAGCTATGCTGTGTGCAACCACAAATTCCAGCTTGTCAGCCAGATTTCCCCCTAACTCAATCATTCATATATCTATAATATATATCATATATATTATATTGTTTGTATATTAAGTGCTGTATAAAAAATAACTGTGAGCTTATGGGGAAGATTATGCATTAGAGCCATAAGAGACCTACAGGATGTGCAGTACCTGACCCACAGCTCATATTTCTACCTCCGGGGAGCAGTTGCCCCAGGGCGGGGCAGGTAGCCAGGGGAGTGCGGGCTCCTTTCAGCAGTGCAGGGCTCTGCGTCAGTTGTTTACAGCCCAAGGCCGCAACCACAAGGCGGTGACGTTGCACAAGAGCCCGTCCTGTTTCACAAGCACGCCTCTTTCTTGCAGCGCGAAGTTCACCCGCAAGCTGCGGTTCATGAGCAGCCTGCGCGAGCTGGCGGAGTACATCCCCATGGACCACGTGGAGATCCCGGACTGCATCCGACAGTGAGGCCCCCTCCCGTCTCCCCTCTGCCCGTCTCCCGGGGAACACGAGAGAGCATTTCAAATCGAGCGTGTTTTACGCAAAGGGTGGTGGGAGTAGGGAACAAGCAGCCTGGCCATGTTGTTGCAGCTGCAAGTCTCACAGTAGATAGTAGAAACTTACTGGATATGAGGTTCTTGGAACATGTAGTTACTAACTATCAATTGGGCTGGACAGGGCCAAACGGCTTGTGCAGCTCTGTCTCTCTGTCTCTCTTCCTGTTTTCTCTCTCCTCCCTCATGCCCCTCTCTCTCCGGTTGCTCACCCCCCACCCCTTCCTATTCTTCTCTCATGTTCGCTCTCCCCTGTCTCCACATGAACACGCCCACCAACCTTTACACACCTGCGCCTCACGCTGGCCCAGTGCAAAGACTGAAACGCCAGGACTGTGTCAGCTCTGCGCCTGAATTGATCATTCAGGTCCTGCAACCAAAAATGCAGAGAGAGAAGTGAGAATGAAAGAGATCTGGGCAGGTGGCTCTGCGCAGGAATACACTATATACCCCCTGAACACAGTGAAGCCCCCTGACGTCCTGCTCCGCTGACAGGCTGGCCCTGTTCTTGTTTTGCAGGCTGGATGAAGAGCTGCACAGGCCCAGGGGCAGCTGGGACTGACGCCATGGACACTTCTGTGGAGCTGTATATAAGACTGGGGGTTTGGGTTCTGCTGGGTGTATTGTCTCAGGGGGCTCCTGGTACCCCACTCGGGGCCAAGCTTCTGCTGCCAGGCCGGTTCCGGGGACCTTGCGAAGGGCCTGCAGGCTGCTGGATCGGGGTCCAATCGGAACAGCGCCGCCTCGCGTGCCACCTCTCCCCAGCCCTTCCTGTGCGTCAGCCGTGCGCCGGCGAGGTTCGGGGTCACCGGGTCTCCTCTGGCCCCAGGGGGTTCGCACTCAGAGTCTCTTACGCTGTTCCAGTCGAGACCCGGCTGAGCTCGTCTCGCACTCCCCCTGCGCTCAGGAGCGTTCGTGATTTGAGGGGACCGACAGCCGCGTCCATGTGGGGTACCCTGTTCCCGGGGGGCTCGGAGGGAGGCCCAGGCTCCGGCTGGTGAGGGCTGGAATGGGGCAGGCCCGCTGGGTGTTGTAATCGGAACACGGGTGCGAGCGTGGGCACGCGGGCGTGGAGACGCCTCAGGGAGAGAGGGCCTGGCGCTCCGGGTGGCTGGAGCGGGAGAAGGGATGAGATCCCCGGAACGTTCCTCTCCGCTTCCCCGCCGTGCCCTTTGCCACGCCGGCTCCAGGCTGGAGAGGAGGAGCAGGGGCGTGGGGGCGTGGCCGGGGCAGGGGCAGGGGCTCCACTCCCTGAGCCGGTTCGTGTCCTGATCAGGCCGGACAAGGGTACCCCAGAAACGCCTGGACCCCCGGAGAGCTCCTCTCCCGCGAGGCGTGTGCTGTAGGGCAGGCCGGCTCGGTTTTCCCCTCCACTGTGATCGCTGATGCCCGGACCCCTGGACCCCACAGCCTGACCCCCCGGTCACGCTCGGCGCCATCGGGAGAGTTTCCCGCAGGACAGTCCTCTCCTCGATCGATGATGCCTGAATCCCTGCTCACGCTGGCCTGTTTCATCCCCAGAGTTCAACAGGATCAGTGGACCTCCTGCAGACACGGGAGGTCAGCCCCCCCAGCTCCTTCTTGTACCTGAGTCTGCTGCTGCCTCCTGCGGCCCTCCCTCTGCTCTGCAGGGGACAGGGGGCTTAAGTGCAGTTACAGAGGGGGGGTCGGACCTGTACTTTTAACCTTTGTAGAAAAGTGCCTTCCTGAGATCTTTTTTTTTTTTAGATTTTTTCTTTCTTTTTGTAATAAACACATTTAAAGTCATGTTTTATTTTGTTTGTCAAATTATTTTTTCCTACCCTTCTTAAAAAAATAAGTAATCCTTTACCCCCAGGTACCTCTTAACAGCAATGGATTAATTTTTTGTTCCCAACTGTAAAAGTAACACAAAAGTTTCCTTTTTTTGCAGGGGTTAAAAATAGATTTTCACATTTCAACAGCGATACAGCAATACATCCACTGCGCAAGGATGTTGTGGGCTTTATTTCTGTAAAGTAGGATTTAGTCAGTGGCGGAGCTCTTACCTACAACTGGACCGACTACATCTGGATCAGGGCGTTTCTGCAGGAAACGGAGAAAGAAACAGCGCGGTTGTGCAAAACCCAGCCCGCGGCCCGTCAGCGCGGCAGCCTGGGGCGACAGGTTGGACACCAGCTGAGAGGCGAGCGTGCAGAGTGGTAGGAAAGGGGGGGTCTACACTAGCTGTGCTCCTCCATGCAGGAGGTGCACTCGTGACGCCAAACAGGGGTCCTCCCTACCCTCTGCCAGGGGGCCAGGGGTATTCTCCGAGTTACTGTTACTTTCACACGCTGCAGAAGAAAAAGTGTGCAGGAAGATGTGGCGACTAGGGTCTGTAATCCAGAAGCACGTCTCTGCACCAAGGGTGGTGGGTGTCTGGCACAAGCAGCCCTGTCCTGTTGTTGAAGCGGAATTCACAGGGAACCTCCAGGATGAGAGCCTCGGATCTATGAAAGGTACCGCGCTCGTAACCGCCAGAGTGGTTATTCTGTTCTGAAGTTAGCTGGCCTTTCCAAGCAGCCGTGCTGTTGAGAAGTTTTTGCAAAGCATCGCTATTTTTCTAGGACTCCCCTGTGGCCCTGAATGGGAAAAGACGAGGTTCGCCTGGAAGATGCTGCGACTGCACTTCAGCCGTTTGAGTTTGTGATCTCGAGCGTAATTGCTTTTGCATGATGAAAGAGGGCCCTTTGATCCCTCCGTGCAGACTCCTCGTACTCGGAGAACAGCGCAGGCCTGCTCAGGACTTCCGTGCAGTAGACTCCACTGACGTTCAGGAATCTCGCAACGGTCTGGAGTGTTGCTTCTGAAGCGACAGGAAGCGCTGGTATCTGAAAGGAAATGCCAACTCCAGCCACGACTCTGTTTTTAACAAGATGTTTTTCGCGATGATGTACTATAGGTATAATGTCCTGTGGCCTGAGCCTTTTCTGTCCCTTAATAAAACAATACTTATTGCCATTCCCAGCAGAAATAAATAACACCAAAGACAGTACAGTACGATCGTCAATAACTCAATAACACAAGGTTGACGCAGACTGGTGTATTCTAATGGTTTCAAGATCAACTTTAAGCACTTTTAAGAAGTAACCTCATGAGAACATTCAGTACAGTGTGTAGCAGAACAATGACCTGCTGTGATATCTTTTCATTGTTCTTCAGTGACCTATTGGTTTTGAAAACAGAATCACTTCTCAAGTTTAAATATGGCTCGTAGCCGTGTGAGTGGTGTGTAACAGGTAAACTGAAGCACAGCAATCGAATCCCTGAAACTGCTCCACCAGGGATGGGTGCACGCCCTGCAGCGGTGGCATTTTGGGACAGAAGGGAGGGATCCTAGTGCGCACAGTCCCATGGATAACGACAGTGTGCACTGAGGGCGTTCACATCGCTAGCGCCCACCAGAGGGCAGACTTCCTTTAAACCTCACCCCACCCTGGTAAACAAACGCAGCCCCCATGGGCCCAGGCGCTTCACAGATCTCCTTAAATACAGTCAACCTGCATTTCAGAATGTTTTGCACGAATAGGCTCCGACGTGTGTTGGTGGGGTGCCTTCTGTAACATTTTGCAGGCCTCGCGGCTGACGCATTCTCCAGGCCCCATGGTGACTGGTTTCCCACCACAAAGCCAACAGAAGAGGCCAGACAGCTTCACGAGGACCCCGATTATTCCGGAAGAGGAAACGAGCACGCATGCGGGCTGCTGATAATTGTTCGCGAGTCAGATATTTGCCAAATCATGGTGCGCGATGATCCTCCCCCTCAGCCCCGCGGTCAGCGATCCTGCTCTTCATTCCAGCAGCGCCTTAGTAACCTGAAGCAACCACATGCCTGGGACCTGTCCCCGTGCTTTTTTTTTTTACCCAAAAAGAGGAAGTCTGATGAACCCTGGTAGTCAGGACAAAGGCTACCTCCCCCAGCTCAGTGTATTCTATGATTATTATTAATGCATTCGATTATCGGAGCAATCGGGAGCTCAAGAACTCGAGCAGAATCAGTGTGGGGTTCCCCAGGAGTCCGGCTGAACCCTTAACTAAATCAAGGCTTCTTACTGGAACCAGACGCTTCTCATCAAACCCGTCACCCAACTGAAGCTGGTAATGGCTGGTAGTTCCCAAAATTCTTAATTTACACTTTCACACCCAGGAGCTCGGCTGGGAACAGATGTCACCCACCCACAGGAACCGGTAAGGGGAACTCCTACCTCAGAACGTCTTTACTTGCCTGCAACTCGAGTTTAATAAACAATTGCTTAACGTGTAGTTCTCACAGACACACCCCAGTTCGTCAGCACTCACTAATCCCAGCAAGTAACACTCCACTGAGCAAACTGATTTAAGGCAGCAGGCCAATCTGAGGCAACCCCTATAAAGCTGCAGTATCCATTTCAAGATCCGCAGAGCCCCAGTCCAGCGAGACCGACCAGTGATTGTTAAGTCGCCCATCGGATCCGAGTTGTTCTGATCCAACGTCGTGGTGGTCTCTTCACCAGGCGATGGTCATCTGACCTACACACTTACTCGCTCAACAAACATCTTCCCCATCTTCCACAACAGGGATTTTGTGTGACTCACAAGACCTACTGGCCTGGTGGAAGCTCTTCTGGAGTAGGAGTGGATTAGAGGAGGACATTGCATCAACAGCCAGAGCGGGAGTGTTAGCAGAGAGTGTACAGTTAGCTTGGCGAATAGGCCACTGTGATGTGTATTCTAAAAGACTGCATTTATGGCACTTAATCACTTAGGGCATATAGTCTTGTTTCAGAGAAGTAGCCATCAGTGCCTGGGTCTGCAATAATGAAATCAACTGCTCTACGTGATGGAAGACAGTCTTACTAGTCACAGGGGGCTGTGTGACCAGTCTCCAGCAGCTGTTACAAAACCCTTAACCAAAAAAACTGCCCGTTTTCAGTCTTGCGTTATCACCAAAATCCCAAAAAAGTTTTATACTGGATGGTCTGGGCCCAGTCCTACAGGGCTGGGGGAAGGCCAAGCAAACAGGTCACCTGGTGGGTTTGAGTCTGGCCTGCTTTGTGCCTGGTGTTGTGTTCTCCTCTCTGCTTAATGGCTGCCAATGCACTCGGAGCCGATGAATGAGGGCAGGCAGGGAGCCAGCAGGCGGGGAGAAACTGCAGAGCTTGAGTTTGCTCCCAACACCCATCAGGGGTGTGGGGGGGGGATGGGGTGCACAGCTCCGGGTGGCTGGAGAGTTAACTTGCGCCTCTTTTCAGAACCCCTGGACCACACGCTGTATGAAACCACCACAGGCAGGAGAGTACTTAAAATATCAGCTGTATTTATAAAAAGTGACAACAACAGCAGGGCACACGGCCTCACAGATCCATGACACAAAACGCTGACGGAGGGGGTGGACACCCCAGGAAACACAAAAAAAAAAAGATCTCGCATAAAAAAAAAAGGATATTGCAGCAAAGATCACAGGCAGTACAAATTATCTTAAAACACAAATATTGCTAATACAGTTAATCACCTCCGTTCAGCATTAATCCAGTGGATGACCTGTTTTATTACCGTTATTAAAATTCTAAAAGAATAAAAGAAAAAAAAAGAAAAAAGCTAAAGTTATTTACACACAGGTCCTGTTCGCGCGGGGGGGGATGCCAGTCACTCGCTCTACTGGAGGGGATCCACTAGCAGGGTGCCATCTCCCAGGAACGGGGAGGGACACAATGGGCATGCATGCTGGTCACGCCAAGGAAATCCAGTGCCGAACACAAGCTCTTCCCAGACACTCCCTGCGCTCCCTGTACAGGCTCCCGGCTTTGGTCCTTGTGAAATTTCCCATCTGGTTCTGCACCCACCCCCATTTTAAAACTGAGTGTGGACCCCACCCTGGACAACCAGGGCTTTCTAGGTCTGTCTCAATCACATGAAGAAGAGCTGGGAAACCCAATTAAAATTGTTCCAGTTTAGCCAATTAATCAATTACTGCACGAGCCCCCCCCC